ATACACTTGTGAGAGCACTGGACTGTATGCTCCACATGGGCTTTCTTGTGATGCCCAAAGTGCATTACAAGATCTTTACAAAAAGGAGTAGCTCAGTATGTAGTACTATTCTAAAAGCTATAAGCCTTTCACTATATTACCTCGGAAAGTTGTATACCTACCGTGACCTAGATAATATGCCTACACAACTGTCACATGCCAAGAAGGAAGTTAATTAGCACTCAGTGAGCTCTGAGCTGCCATAGCCAGGCTGGTAGTCTAACTAGCTTAGATATCTCTATATCGCAGGCAGTACAATATAGACATTCCTTACTTCACTTTATTTAGGCTGTAAATACAATCATACTTCTCTTGGCTTAAATTCGCCAGATAGAAAGATGAAAAAAGCTTAATTATTAATGGTTAATTATTTATTAACTATTCTTACTCAGTAGTTTTTACTTTATTACCTTTTATATTCACATATTAGTTCACATCCAGAAGAGTAAGAATTAAACCCAGTTTTCCATTTAAAATGATTGCTTTTCCAGTCATCTGAAATAGTTGCTTCTGGAGCAACAAGTAAACAGCAGATGAATATCATTCAACAAGAGAGAATTTTATCTGAACATCAACTCAAACATCTCATATTAAGTTCAATGTCAAAAACTTAGGAGGATTTAAGTTATGTGTACCTCCACAGCGCTCGGGCTTCACCATCTCTAGTATGTCCCTTACAGATTCTCAATTTTTTTTAAATCTCCATTCAAAATGCCAATAAACAGTAGATTTCCTGTGTGCATCTGGTTTCAGATGCAAAGCCATTTATTATCTGCTCTGAACAGCGTAAAATCCTAATGATCTCACTGATTTTACCTTTGGGGTGGGGGAAGGAGAGAGAAATCGCTCAGATAATAAAAACCCATCCTGACAGCAAAAATGACAACTTTCGTAACAAAGATCAGCAGTGTTCGTTTACTGACTGTGCTGCTCCTAGAGAAACACATTTTGTTTTAGGGTTCATTATTTTTAAGAAACAATGTAAGGTACAATAAGATTTAAGTTGACTAAACACTGAGAAAGCAGTATTTCATATCCTGTTACATATTTTTTAGCCCTCTGTCCCAGAGTTGTAAAGAGCTGGGATTCAGTCAAAGGTTTCCAAGCACCAAATCTTTCCTCACTGGTATTTAAAATACGATTTGTTATTTTAATGGTCTCATTTTAAAATACCGTTTCTACAAAACTCTACAAATCTACCATTTTCTACAAAACTTAAGCAATACCATATTCTTCTTAAGGGAGTCACCGGATGCCCAAACTCCACACTCCTAGAAAGTTACAATATTCAAACAACTATAGAAGCACTGAAAAGCAATCTTTAAAGTACAAAGTATATCTTTAATAAAACAACAAATCTTTCCATGAGGACAAGCCGAACTTTGCAAGAACACAACTAATCTGATCTAGGAAGGTGTAGCTCTGCAAAACCATATTGTTGAAGTTTGCATCACTGGTTTATTATTAAAGCACTCCTCCAGGAGCAAGGGCAATAAAATAATTAAATGAAGAAATTTCAAGAAGAACTTAAAATGAACCAAAATAAAAATTAGACATTTAGCCAGTTACTAACTAGCTGAGAAATAACAGTACTGTTGCAAGACAAATCAAGAGATAAACTATTGACTCTGTAGGATGCCCTGAAACAAAGTGGCTACCATCACAGCTCACATCATCTCCTGATCCCTTTCCACAGTCACAGAAACGCTCTAGAAAAGATGGCTAACAAGATTAAATGCTGGAAATGCACAAATGAAATAGAAGAGAAGGGCAATTGCCCATTACCTCCATTTTACTTCTCAGTGAAAAAGCTACTCCAGTCCACTGGCAGTGCACTAACATCTTGTTGTAAGCTTTTATTAGAGTGAGCTGACAGACCGGCAAAAAATCAGCAGAAGCCTTTCAGTTTAGCTGTCAGCAGAAGATACTTTTAACCAGCGTAAAGCAACAATTTCTAAAGTTGCTTCAGAGCAATCGTCTTAGTAAAGTTTTCCAAATTCAGACTTCTGAAAGAGCAAAATAATTGAAGACATAATGTTTCTTGCACATTTCTCTAGTATTTGGCTCTTTAACTGACACTATCATCGTGACAGCTACCAAGATGTTGCTGCTTCTCTGCAGTGACCCCAACTGGAACAGATTTGACAGGATGTGGCTCGAAGCTAAGTCTCAGGCCCCAAACCCTTAAAGTCTGCTCAACAATAGCTGAAACGTAGCAGATGAGCCTGTATTTTTCTGGAGTCGGCTCAACTTGGAAACAGGCAGCTGAGTACAGAATGATCTTACCCATTGGACAGAAAGTCTCACCAAGTCCAATATTTGAAGTTATGTCTACAAAATAAAGAGCAGCTTTACTATGTATAATGTGAAGCATTTCTCCTGACTAGGATTTTCAGATGATCTTGCTAAAGTGAATAACTTATAAATCACCTACGCGTAGCTCTAGCACGACACTGCAAAAAGTGGTTTATGGCAGTCAAATTCAGAACACGTCCCCAGCTACAAAATTTTTCCTTCCACTGCATCTGCTGCAGGTCACGGGACTGCCGCAGCGATCCGGGAGGAGGAGGAGCACATTTAGGAGCCATAACCCACGGACAGGCATAATAACACCTTCCCCCGACAGATCCAGCCAACCAGCACTTCTCTTTGAGACTGAAGCAGTTGTACTGGTCAATGAGGGAACCCATCAGCAAGACAGCTGACAAACTCTCCTCCAAATCTTTTGGTGTGAAATTCAGGCTAAAGCCACACTAAACAAGATCCCTGTATAGCACAGATGGTAACATGCAAAAGGAGAACATTAAATACACAAATGCATGCAAATTTTTATACAGTTTCTTGTATGTGAAGAGCCTGATTTGCTAATCTTGTCAAAACAGCTTTAAGGGACTAGTGACTCTCAACTCTGAGCACTCAACGGGAGATATGATTTTTCAGACAAAAGGAGAGGAGCACTTCCCAGAAAAAAAATTCAATGGCTCAAATCAAAGAGACAAAAATCAAAGCACTCAAGGCTCCCAGTCACTCCTGAAATCTTTGCTACTGTTTTTTGGGAAATAATTCAAGCAGTCTTACCAATTTGAGAAGCAGATACCTTTATTTCAGTCTAACGTAAAATTTACAGATATCGACTACGCTCAAGTCACCAGGCCTAATATACACACAGTGTCAGAAAGCCTATCAAAACTGTCAGGTATTCTGGTGCACATTTTTGAATTAATGATAACAGAAAAAAATATCAGCAATATAGTCTATGGTCTCTTTTTGCAACTAACTAGTGGAAGAAAAGATTTAGATTCTTAATTCTTAAAAGATTCTTAATTTTTCCCCATAGTACATATTCATTAGCTTAGTATGGAGAATTATTAGAGCTTCTCTATCTACTAGAGTCAAGAAGACAATTAGATTAGACAGCTAAACTTTTTCATTAGCAAAATGAATGTACATCAGTTGTGTTCACCTTTCTCTCCCCCCCCTACTTAGATATCATATCCATAAGGTGGTAGACAGAGGTTTTGAAAAATCTGGTATATATTTTACAGTGATTACCTAAGAAGTTAAAATAGGGATCCTGCTTTGAAGAAACGGCTTCTTATAAAATACAGTATTTATTTAAATAAAACATTAGTTATATGTTATAAAATCTTAAAACTAAACATAAATTAAGAGGTCTTTATTAAACTACATAAAATATTATTTATTTAAAAAAAAAAACAGTGTTTCCCAGTAAGCATGTACATTTGTGTCATGGCTGTAATGAAACATGCATTAAGTATGAAACATATGGTTTCCATTTTGTCGCCCTGGAACCCATCCAAAGACATTTTACGTTGTTAGCTTAACTGTTCTCTTCAGCTGAGAAGCTGTGGAAAATATCTCATCTGAAAAAAATCTGTACCTAATGGATAACTATAAAAGATTTCCTAGAGCTGCTGCAGCTCTACTTTATAAAAAAGCCTTTGAGATTACTATTTAATTACAGGATTTTTTTTTTTAAATTAAACCTAATTTTCAAATTCAAAAGAAATTTTAAGAGATGCCACAAATTATATGAACAAATTATGTTGGGAATGTTTTCTTTGCTTAATAAATTCATAGTGGTGTCTATGACATTCTACTGGAACCAGGACATCTGACTGAACAAGAATCCATGACAAAATCACTACTAATGTATTAGCTCCCTGGTTTTATGTGTTTGCAAAACTTATTTTAGGTTGAAAGATCACTGCTCTGAAGATCACTGTTAACTAATAAACTGATTCAGAAGCAAGAATTAGTAAAAATGAGACCAAAAGAAGAAATATTATATTTCTTTATTTTTAATAATGCTTGGTTTTGCCCTGATGAAGAAATAGATTGTCAAAGAGTTGGCTGAGAATTTGAAGACATCTATCATGGGAGTCCAGATCTAAATAGTAATTCTTTCAACACAAAATGTACTAGAAAAGCTGAAGACAGAATCCCAAGCTTAAATTTTGCTATGCATGCTTAAAGATTCACCCCATGTTGTGAGATTGCTAGCCTCAGCAACATCAAGCAGACAACGTATAAAACCTGTAAATTATTTCAGCCATTCACTTGTGTCCAGGAATTAATATGTTGAATTTAATCTGTGAAGCCTTCTATAGTTTGGGTTCTTATAAATTATGGCTAATTATTCTCTTGACAAAGCCAATGGGAAAATAATGTCATGAATAAAGTGATAAATCCAAGCAGAGCAGTTTGGAGACTTCACTAGACTGCCTTTCTCTCATTACCGCATTAGCTGAGCTGATTTGGGATACATCAGTTGAAAGCTCCCGTTTCATTACCTTAATGTCTCACGTGGCTTGAGGTCTGTACTCTCTGTAAAGGGTCTGCAACTTGAGAATTCACATTGCCAGTGCTTTGGCAATGTGCAGGTTTGTTCATCTTCAGAAGCAAGCCGCTGCAAGAATTAGCCAATTATTTTAACTCACCTTTGCCATCTGCGCTTGGACTCCACTAGCCTTTAAAGCAGAAACTGCCTTCTGAGCAGCTGCTGGGCTGTCAAAGTCTACAAAACCATAACCTGAAAAAGAGACGACAACCAGTTTATAATCAAACACATCCTACTAGCATGGGTATCTAATAAAATTTTCTCATCAGTGAAAAGGGCCAATTTGAGCTCTGAAGTTCTTCACGTAATCCTAAAGCCACCAGCCTACCAAAGTGCTTCACCCCTCAAGCTGGTGGGGACCTGTCCTAGTGGTAAGATTCAATTTCCATGCTCATTCAGAATCAGGCTCGTGTCCAAATTCCGTCAATTAGTATGGTGCTTTTTATTAGCAGCTATGTATCCACTAAGAGAGAATACGACATATGAACAATTTCTGACTAACTAGTTACTTCGTTGTATATACATCAAAGATAGCAGTTAAACTGAAAAATGAGTGAAAACCCAGGTCCAGTGAAATCAAATGAATTTTTTCCATTGTTGTCACTGAAGCCAGAACGTAAAAAATTGTCCCTAAAGCATTTTTATGCCATAAAATGTAATTTTTAAATGTTAATGTAAAAACAAAGTTAATTATAACAATTTCCACCTTAAGCCTGCCCTTTCTTAAGAAAATATATGCAATAGCTTTTTTCTTTTTCTGAACAGCAATTTACAGCTAATAGATTCCAAGGCGTTTGAACAGCATTGAACCTTGGCCTCTTAGCAGACACTGACCTTATAGGCTAGATTTTTAATGGGACCTTGGAGCTAGATGCTCAAGTCTCAATGAAAGGCAATCAGAGTTTGGAAGCTACTTTTCATAGATGTTACTGAAAATCTCATACTGAGAGAGATTCCTTTTTCCTGCAGTGAATAGCCTTAAAAAATAGAGACATCCCTCTCCAATGTCTAAGCTGGGTTAGAAATAAAACAAAACAAAACAAACTCACTCTAGAGGAGCAGGAATTATTTCCTCAGAAAGTAGTAGTGTTCTCTTTTGTCCTCTATACTGAGGACAAGAGGGCTGTGTAGAGATATATCTGAACCAGCTTTAAAGTACTTAACTCAGGAAGAAAAACTAGAGCAGCCTTGTATATCAGTGCAAGCTTATTTAACCTGCCAAGAAGCTGAAGAAAGCAGCATATTGTTCTATGTAACATGTGGTGTTGTGGACTGTTAAATATTGACATGAAACAGAGTGAACTAGTGCATATCAAGTTTCGCGCTGCCAGGGCAAAACCAGCTTTCCATACCCATGGTAGCACGGGCTATCAGCACCACCACGCTGCAGGGTGCGATATAGATGAAGCTCCATGCCGATACCAGGCATGCCATCAAAGCTGGCTTTGCCATCTTTTAGGTGATATGTAAACTCAATCCCTCATGGCTCCAGTTCATTTAAATCCTATGCTATGTTTTTTTTGGCAAGAGTCAGAGATGCTGTCAAACTTTTGATTAAATTCCAGTGAGATATCTGCATTCTGCCTACTTGCATTCCCGCTGCAATTTCAACAACATGCACTGAGCTTCCCTATAGCCTTAGGCGGCTGTATATTGTTACAAAAGACTGTTAGTTACTGCTTTTCACCTATGAAGCTCAAAATTTATAAAACCTATATTAGAAAAATCAAATCATTGTGAGAAATTTTGTGCTTAAATCTTTGAAGAGTCAGGATCATAAGCAGTATCACTAAGAGAGCTACTGAAGCCTTTGGGAACTGGAGGAATGGGAAGACCAAATCAGTTAAGTGCTGTTATATGCATTAATGCATTAAAATACTAGAAAAAGGCATCTGCTCTTTCCTAGACACATTATGTGCAGATGACATCTGCAATACAAGCTGGGAAAAAGTTTTCTAGAAAGTTCAGTTTCTGAACTTTCAGCACTGCTTTAATTGCTTGGGATGCGGAGATAAGAACCAACCCGGGCTGCTGCACCGTTTCAGAGTTCCCCCCAAAACTCTGCCTTGATTAATGACAAATTCTCCTCTGCCTTTGCCTATCAACTTTGCACTCATTCATGGGGTCACCCTTAACGTTGCTAAATCAGTTGACTCAGTTCTTTACTTTGCTAAGAAATTATCCTCTTAACTGTAAAAAAAAAAAAAGTCTGAAAGCTGATATTTCCAGCATCTGCTACCAAACCTTCCCCCACCATGTGTGTTGCTGGGATATCATCTCACTGTAATTGCAATGAGTGCTGTAGATCAGGGAACTCAATAGATGCATCCAATTTATTTAAAGGAGTTTTATTATTTTTTCCAGCTGCAATTACTTTGGTGAAAATGAACCCCTTCTTTGCTCCCAATACATTGAATAGCATAGAACAAAACACAATTAGAGTACTGGAACATGTAATTAAGTACTGCCTTAAACTATTCTAATTAATAGAGCTGATTTCCACAATATATAATTTTTTCAGACGCTTAGTACAGTCAAATGGTCTTCTGTAAGCTTCCCTAATTTCTCCAGGCAAAAGGGGAAAAGATGCTTTTATCTCCACTTTTGTTTTTAAAACAGAGGCTAACTGCCAGACAGCACTGTGCATGTTAGCTTCACCCAGGTTTGGCTGCATCTCTGACACAGGCCATCTGCCAGCTCCACTGGAAACAAATATAGTGAATATGCTGACCGTGGGCAAGAATAAGACTAGCTCAGGAGTGAGAATTGAATAACTTCTTAAAAAATCACTTAAAATACAACATTAGTATATTTTATAAAATCAGGTAAGACTCTCAGGTGAATGTAATTTAAAGGCAAACATACCTTTGCATTTGTTTGTTGTCTTATCCAAAATAGCCTTTGTGGATACAATTTTCCCATACCTACAACGTATGCATATATATGCAAAGAAAAAAAAAGAAAAAAAAATCCTGTTACAACAGATACCAAATTCACATCGTTTTATATTCCATTACCCATGTACTTTTCACAAGCTGGAATCATATATAGACTGTATAACTACGTAACAAAAACTCATTAGTGACTTCTGTAGACAGAAGTAACAACCCCCCCCCCCAACAATTTCAAACATGATCATGCTCTGTTCTCCTTATGTTACCAGTGGCACAGCAGAATCACAAAACAAGCCAGAGAAAAAGCGCTTTACACAGAAAAGAACACGATACAGGTAAAATCCTGATACATGAAAGAAGACATGTTTTAGGCATAAGCTTGGACTCTCCCTGTCACTGTATGTATCTGATAAAGCAGACAAGTAACTGTCTTGTCTATGCTAGGCTTCTTAAGTAAAATGCTATGAAAAAAACCAAGCAAAAAATATAGACATCCTTTTCCTTTCACTGACAAATCCAGAGATGAAAACCTGTATTCTGGAAGGTGACAAGTATGAGTCAGCTTTATGCAAGCTGATCAGCAAAGCTGGTAAAGGATTTTCTGGGGTTTTTTTGAAAAAATTAAATGTTAACAATTTCAACAAAAACAAAATAACCCTCGAGAAAGTTTTGGTTGTCTTTTTTAAAACAAAACAAAACCCATTCATTGCCTGTTCTGCAGCTTCTTAATGTCTTGGCAGCCCAGACACCAAGCTGCTATACGGCCTAAAGGTGAGCAACCAAAGAGCTGAGAAAGAAAATTTAGCTTGGGAAACGAACAAAAATCTCAGTTACAGGAACGACTGTTGTTTCTCAAGTGTGGCAAAAAGTTTACAGTATTAGCTTTTTTGATCCCGATTTGGAGTAGAATTTATTGCTGCTGGGGAATGTTTGCAATCTTCCTTGGAAATCAAGCGTCACTTTTTGGCCAGCTCCAATACTAAGCAAGCAACTGCCCTGGCATGTAAATGCTTTTACGGCCTGCAGTTATGCAGGAAATCGGCAGCAGAATCAGAAATGGAACTTGGGTTTCCCAGGTCCCCACCACAACCTCCTTCGTTTGCTTTTAAACTGTATTTGATACAATTACTATACAATTAGTATAAAAAGAGAAAAGACAAAATTTGGGACTGTTTTTTTTTTACAGGAGGAAAATAATGTAACGTACTAATATGTCCACACAAACCCTATGGGCCAAGTGGTTCTATTTCATTGTACAGGAATTGAAAACACTGAAAAGTATTAGGAATATTATCAGAAGAAAGTGAAATTTGGGGAAGAATGAAGTTTTGCCAGCTCATCTGTTAAACATAACTTCAATAGAGAGGCATTTACTGAGCATCATTTCAAAGAGATATTATTTCAAAAGATGACTAACTCAGTTTCTGAAGCTGCAGCAGCCATATAGTCTCAGCTATTTCTTCAAAGTAGCTGAGAAGCCTAACAAAGTTAGGCTTAGTTAGTTAAAAGTGCTCAAATAATTTCTCACTTACAAAGGGATAGTTATTCAAGAATAAAGTCTATTTACAAAGTACTTCCTCCCACTAAACGTTTAAATACATTTTTTTCAGTATAGTTATCAGTCTTTGTGATGAGTTTCAAGCTTCCTCTGTTTCTTTAGCGAGTTCTTGTGTGGCTTCAAATAAGGTAAATTTGTAAATTTGGAGCAACTGAAGCCACCAAATATTGGCTTCCTTACTTACTTGGAATCGTGGACATCTATCTTTATATTCTAAAGACAGAATTATCTCTCTACAGCCTAAAAATTTAGTACAAGATCCTATTAAAATCTGTGTATACTTAAATAGGCCATGCTAGAAGCTGTAATAAAGTAATATAAATTGTATCTAATAGCTGGCACATGTACTCTGTCATTAGTGCCAATTATTTTCCAGGTAAGTCATTCTCATATAGAAAGCTGTAGATTTCAAAAGTTAAACCTTCTGAACGTTCTCTAAAATTTTTCTGCGAGCGTAGAGTAATGTACATGTCATATTTACATGTTATGTACATGTTATAACTTTGGGAAAGGCAAACCGTTCAGGGGTGGAAACCATAGAGCTCTTCAAGATGCACCACACTTATGTCCCAAGACGCTTGCACCCAGTATTATATTTGACGGTCAGTATTGTATACCTGCTATCCTTTATCAATTTCTTAACCTCGTTAAGGTAAGAAGCTACGCAACCTTTTGGGAAAAAAAGAAAACAGCTGAAGGATGATCTTGTCTCCACTACTCTTTCAGGTCAGGGAAGGGAGAGGGTGAAAAATAAAGCTCTGAATATCTACATGAGCAAAAAAAAGCATAACTCTCAGGCTGCCTTTGGTAACAGAGGAAAATCAGGGACTGACTGTGGACTACGTTGGCCCACAGATACTGACACACACCAACCAACGGCACAGAAACATGTCTGCATGTTTGTTCTTTACAATCATTTCATGGACCATCTCCTAATGTGCAAGACCACTAGTGATTTAATTCACTGTCCTAGATAGCATAGTTCCTGTGAAGAACCAGCTGCCATGGGAGACTGCCAAGAAATTTCAACAGTGTGAGTTTAAGAAGGAGTCAGAGAACCAGCATAACAATAGCAAGCTATCCCCATTTCTCCTACAATTTTTCCTATAGATAGTCTTCCCAAGCGACAGATCTCCATTAACACCCTATGAAGCATAGAAACATGGTTTACCCCACCTGTGACCTGACCAGCACGATACATCACCTCCTTGTTCCCACCACATGGCCTTATTTCAGGGGGAGACAGCCCTTGCACTTTCTCATAAGTGCTCCCTTCAAACAGCGACCAACATGAAATCCTCTTTCTTCCTTGTGGATTTTGCACATTCCCATTAAGACGGGCTCCTCCTAGCATGGTTGGTGCAATCGCATTCAGAAATCAATGATTTACTAAAAAATATCAAAGCCATGGTCCAAACTAATATATATCGCCTGCTTACCAAAGAGAATATAGCAAGCAAGAGGAAGGGCTATTTTGTTGATTGCTCATCCCCTTTCCTCTAAAGCAATTTTAAAAATATTTTCAATTTAATGCTCATCTTGGGAAGCATGCTCAGCAGTAGCCTGTGTACTAGCTATTCCTCAAGTACAGAACACCAACAGAAATGTGTATTTTGACAGGAGATCAAGAAGAGTTCAAAAGCCAAGTTAGGAAGATATGCACTACTAAGATATGCAGTACTGCTACTTAATAAGACAATGTTTACCTCTGCCCATTACACACACTTTGTGCAAAAACAGAAGGGTAATTCCACCTACCCAGCTGCCCCAAGAAGGTGCCCTGCCAGGCAACACGTGTACCAAAATAGAGTGCTTTTGTCTTAGGTTCTTTTCAAGAGGAAGGCTTGAAACACAACATCTACATACACTTTTTAAAAATCACATTGTTCAGTAAGATGTCAAACCTGGTGCAACTAACCACACTAAGAGATTTTTTTACAAATAACTAGGAATACTCTCTAGATATTTAAACATCTCTGAAGCCTAATTTTGGTGACCTGCATGACGAAGGAAAAGGGTTCTCTAAAAGACTAGGCATGCTGACCAAACTGAACCAGTGTTTATTTTTCTTTCTTTGTACATCTGCTATTATAACAAACATGCTTGCAAACGTGAGGGCGATAAGGTGCCATCATGAGCATGACAAAGAATGGGGAACAAAGTAGCTTGAAGTCTCTGGCACAAGTGCTATTTTGAGTGCGGAAAGAACTTATCTGTGTGTGCATTAGGGGAGGTACAATAAGAACAGGCAGTGAGAGGTTTGATAGCAGATGTCTGGAATGAATTGTTTAAATCTTTGTCTACAGGTTAATGTAATATACCTCATAGCTTTTCCTTTTTGCAGTAATTTCAAGCTGCCTTCCCGCTTCTACTTTGAAGGGTTTCTCTACCACCTGGCTTTGACTCAGAGACTAACATGGCAAATAAATCTTTGCTAACATGAAAAGTCTCTGTTTTGGAGGGCTACTTAGGTCCTGCACCCTGCAGAACTTCACGTTGAAGATTGACAGTGCTCTCTCTTTGACTAAGTTCAATCCAGTTGTAAAAAAAGGATTCCCAGAGATCCCATCCTTAACCCTTGCATTAGGGTACGGCTGTTAGAGCTCCTTTACTATGCAGAAAAAATGCTGCATATCTTCTGTGTTTATTCTAAATTAATTTTTTTTATCTTAGCATCTTATTGCTGCCCTCCATGGAATGTTCTTCATTTCTAAGAGCCAGCATCACGTGGCCAAGCTGGGCATGGATTTCATAATGCGTAAGTGGCTCTGGATGCATGAACTCAGTACAAGGTGGAATTGCGAAAGGAAAGAGAACCTGGCTGAACATAAAATTTCAGTAAGGACCCAACATCCTCACAAGGTCACCCACAGACAATAGAGAACAGCAACTAAACAGGCTGATCCAGCTAGGAGGGCCATGTGGGAGAGCAGATCAGTTAATCTTTGTAAAAAAAAAAAAAAAAAACAAAAAAAAAAAACCATGCAGTTGCTGAATGCATCCACAACAAACTAAAACTTTTTTTAGACTAGGGTAAATAACTAGAACAAAATAAGTAAAGCAGATGGGGGAAACACTTCCAAAGTGATTAATGTATACGAATTGTAACATTAAAAAGAACATGCAGGTGTGGATGTTTTGTCTGTAAATCAGCTTGAAAAAGGAAATCTTTCTTGTTCAGTGCATAATACAATTGGTCTCCGTACATCTTACACGCACCATAAATGTGAGAGCTGTTTAAAAGGGAATAATACTATCCTTCAGTATCATCTCAAAAAGAATAAATAATCACTTCTGCAAATCAGCAGTTTGCAACTTCTGAGAGATCATCCCCACCTCCCCAAAACCAGAGTATTCTATTTTGAACAATACTGCTCAAAATGATTTACTGGAAATTAGGGCTCTTAATAACCAAGAACAACATCACAATCCTCATCGTATTTGTAGAATATGTAGAAGCCCAACCAGTTCA